TTCGGATTATCGGACCGCAATGTCTTGTATACCTACAACTCACTGCACGGGCAAGGCGAGTTACATGCCGTAAGTTCTTCCCTTTCGGGAACTAGTATCCGCGTTATTTTGCCTCAAATGCGCATGCACAATCGGTTGAAGCACGTGGGCGGAGTCTTTGCGCATAATTGCGGCGGTTTGCGCACAGCTGTACGACGCAGTACTGGCGTGTTCAGCTGTAGTATTATAGTGTGGAGGTTTTCTCGGTACATAACGTTGTCTCTGTTGTCTCCGTTGTCTCTTTAGCTTTACAATCAAGCATTGTCCGAACATAGGGGCCATATTCCGACTGACGGTGGTTCGGACGGTGAGCGATCTTTGTGCCGCCGTAGCGTTACTATCCCTCTGCCGAAGCTGGTACTGTGCATGCCTGTTGAGTGACACCCTCTGAGGTACTGAACGTAGCGAGGATAGCTAACTCTGTCTGGTCCGAGAGAAATGGCTGTGTCCGGGTGATGGTGTCCGATAATTGATGAGCTACTCTACTTACCTTTAGAGACGTGGCAGCTGGCATGCAGCAGTATATATCTGCACGAGCAATCCTAGAAGTTGCACCTTCGAACCATGAAAATTGGGAAGAGGTACAGCCTCGGTCAGTCACCGAAGGTTGCATCGCATTCTGTCGAATGGAGGAGAATTCTCTGGCTGGCTAGATCGATCGGCGCATAATCGCGAGGCAGGCAGCGTGCGTGTGTGAAAATTTGAAAATCATTTCAGAAGCGCGTAAGAAGCCGCGCATGCGCACTTACACGACGTACCAAAAATTCCGCTCGAACGAACGACTAGGTTGTATACTAGTGGAAATGTTGAACATTGTTGGCGAGCGGGAGCGACCCAACTTGGGATTTCACCGCGATGTTCGGGCTGCATAGCGCGCACAGATTTCCTTTCGTGAAGCAAGACAGATCTACCTGTCGCCGTTACATGCGTACTGTATATTGCCAGAACGGTGAGCAGGTGAGCAGAACGGTACTTACCTTACGCTTTCAGCTCGTCAGTCGTGGTCCACCTGGCAACTGGCATGCAGCAGTATGTGCCTTAGCGTATTATGCAAGTTGCCCCTTGAGATTGGGAAGAGGTACAGCTTCGGTCAGTCACCGATGGTCGATCGAATGGAGGAGAGTTGAAATAAATTCGGATAAAAAGAAGCGCGTACAAAGACGCGCATGCGCACTTACACGACGTACGAACGCATATATATATATATATATAAAATATATAATATATATATATACACAGAAAATTCCGCTCGAACGAACGACTAGGTTGGCTCGCTCCCGCTCGCCAAATATACGTACGTACGTCGTCAATTAGTCACGCTTAGGAATGCCAAAAGGAAGTGTAACATCAGTCATTCGTAGGAAGTCTAGCTTCCGCCGTGCGCGCAGATTCGTAGGAAGTCTGGCTTCGCGCGCAGTCAGTAGAGCGCGCGCACGAGCGGCCTCAGTCGGACTGTTTACACATTGGCTGGCAGGCGAGGAAAAATATGCGCGTTCGCATTCCTAGTAGTGTTGTATAGTAATATATACTGCACTGATCATTGTACAATACTCCTTGAGAAGAGAGCCTCTGGTACCAAAATCCTGCCGCCCAGCCATTTCTCTCTTGACACCCTTGCATAGAGTGCCTACCGACGCTCTGATATCTTATCTCTGTTAGATGCTGAGTCCAGGAAACTACGCGCATTAGAGAACCGCGGGGGCCATGGGCTATCGGCGTTCGAGCGCAGCGAGGACGGCTCGCCTCTACCAGCAGGGGACTCCGCCCAACGTAAGTGAGCCATTGCGCCTGCGCAAACTTTAGAGTTCAGAAAATAATGCTTTTGAGGACCGCGCATCGACCAATCAGATTGCTCGATTTAACTTCAGAGTGTTCTGGTTGTGCATTGGCCAAATCGACTTGTGTATGTACCTGGGCATGATTGCTGCAGATAGCTAATAGTTATCACTGACATAACGAGTGCATGTAACTGGTATTTGAGTTATGTCATAGATAATTGAGTACTACAGTAACAAAAGTTGCATAATAATCTTCCCTAACCTTTTTAAGGACACAAGGACCCCACGTATGCCTACCAACATTGCGGTATAGCTAGCTAGATTTGACCAGCATCCTGGCAGTGTGTAAGAAAGCAAACACTACGGATCAGAACTGACACAGCCTGGAAAAGACCTCTGCAATATTCCAAGATTCGCCCGGCATCAAAATGAAACATAGCTACAGGCTGTCCACATCGGACTCAAACCTAGGGCCTGCCCAGTATTCCAGAGATATCAAGGCCTTGCCCCTAGAGGGGGATCCGCAAACGGAAGGTCGTCGAGATGGGTCTGAATGGGACTGGTTTAACTGGCAGATCACAGTTGCACTCGGAACCACAAAAACAGTGTCTTGCGTAAATAGTTACTGTGTGCATGCTACTTGCGTAATAGTTACTGTGTGTAGGCTCAGAGTTGAGATGTTGGCCAGCCACGTGTCTGTCAGGTGAACAACGTACGTTTTTCCCAGCAAAAGCAAAGTCGTTGAGATGGGTCTAAGTAGGACTGAATGAGACGGACTGAACCGGCAGACCACACATTGCATGAGGAACCACAACAGCGGCAACTTTGATCATTTTATCAGTTTTAGGTAACGAAAATGGTGTATAGAATAGTGAGTGCTTAGCGAGATTTGCTTGTCAGACCTAGACCAAAACTGTTTAGAGTTTTGCCTCAGATGCCGTGGATATTGAGCCAAACGCACGAGTAACAAGACCGTGGATGCCATTAATTAAAATATCTTGCTCACTGCTTGAGAGTCCAACAGTGTCTTATGTGGGAAGAATAATAGTTACTATCCACATGCTCAGAGTTGGAATCCAAGTGTACATAATGAGAGATGTTGGCCAAACATGTGCTGGTCAGTTTCTGATCAGCAACATATGCAAAGTTGGCTGCTATCAATAATAGTGTTTAAACTAAGCAACCACTGCACTTGGATGTATGTATATAGCTTTCAGCTATGCAGCTTGCATTGCTACATAAACCAGCAAGTTGCTTTGCTTATCCTTAGTCTCATGGGCAATACATAGTTAATGGGGTGTTTTTTCCTTACACACAAACTATATCTAATTACGTGTGGCTCATGAGAGTACTAGCTACATGCTTTAACATGAACAGCCTTGTTTAAACTCGGGTAACGTGACAAATATTAACATTGAAACAGTCGATAACAAAGTTTACCCTGATATGACCTCCCACAAGAGATTTTCACAAGACTATCTAACCAACAACATTACCTAATTTAAGAGAAGTAGAGCCTACAACAGTTTCAACCTTATGGTTTTAGTGTACTGAAGCTACCACATAATCCCATGTTTTTGCAACAATTCTTGGATCATCACATCCATTATCAGTGGAGTGCCTTCTGTAAGTAAGTGTGTACATTTCCAACTGCTTAGCTTGCTGTTGATTTGCACGAGGAGCAACTTGGCGGAGTCTGCGCAGTTTTGCGCGAGATTTGCGGGGCGCTCAAAAGGGCCTTCATTCAGTTTGTAGCCTGATTACCAAAGCCTGCCCACGAAACCACAACCATGTGCCATAACCTATACTGATTACATCCTTGTTGAAGACAATAAGTATGGTATCTAGCCCCTGCTTCAGGCACTAGTAGCCCATTAGCTACTTCTTTCAGTTAGAGTTAGTCCATGGTAACCTATCTACAACATACACATGAACATCAGACTGACTGTAACAATAAAATACCAAGTTGTGATAAGCTGTTAAAAATAGTGGAAACAAGTGGAAAATCATTTCTTCAAAATGGAAGGGAATATAGGGATGGCTTGAAGCACCAAAAAGGAAGAAACAATGGGGCCATTACACAGCAAAGATGCACAAAGCTACCTGACACCATTAAAACTATATATGGGATGGTGTTATGCAGCTTTGTTCATCTTTGCTGTGTAATGACCCCTTGTTTCTTCCTTTTTGGTGCTTCAAGCCATCCCTATATCCCCCTTCATTTTGAAGATATGATTTTTTTCACTTGTTATCACTAGCAATCATAATTATTACAGGCTTTTTAACTCATTGGGGCCTCGAGGGTCAACTTACGTCACTAAAACGCAACGGAAACGCAACGCAAAAAAAGATTCGAACTAAGGACCTCCCGTGTTGAAGTGCACCACCTTACCGCCTGTCATTCCACGCTCCTGAAGTAGGCTAAAACGTTACCTATATTCGGGATTACGTAGGCAATTGCGCCCTGTAATGTGGACCCCAATGATCTTGCTTCCGAAAAACATGGCCAGAGCTTGCCGGATGATCCGTTCCATTCTGGAGATATAGCTGCTTTTGTATATACCCGGGAGTCAGACCTTCGAGATCCGAGAAACGGCTACGTGGAGAAATTTTCCGCATACGCGCTCCGTTACACGTCGTGCGTTGACACTAAAGCTGCTCGCACGGTTGTGGAACAAGGCTATCTCGAAGAAGACGACAGGCTCAACGAAGGTAGCAGATAAGATTTTAGCATCGTTGGTAACCCTAGCTCCTCGTTAGGCAGTTGACTGCCCGTAAATTTCTCCGCGTAATTCCCGTGTATTGTGCCCGTTTACGGGCGCGTGGAGATCGACGTAGCCTACTTCGAGGCGCCGCCACGCTCTAAAGTATGTAGTTGTCTTCTTGATAGATGTAGGTCCTTCTCCGTTTGAAAAGTCTGAATCGCGCGGTACCCGCTGTTTCGATGCTTACTAAAAATCAATTTTGCCGACTTATACCGCTTTTTCGTCACATTATAGAAAAATCGCGCCGTTCGGACCACTAGTTTAGCTTGCTTCCGCTCGCCAATTAGTATTCGCTCTAGGAAGCGAGAAATAAGCATGCGTGTGTTACACTGGCGGGTTGCGCACAATGATCACGTGTTTTTCGCCATAAATAGCAACGTTGAGCGTCCATGGTTTCATTTTTGTGAGGGCAGCGCTCGAGGATATTTCTTGTGTTCACCGGAAGCATTCACTCTATAACAACACGAGATACCATCATTATTCTAATTGTTGCGCGATGGATTCGAGATTTTTGTTTGCTTTGATTCTCCTCTGTGGTCTGAAGGATAAGTGTCAGACCTTTCCTTATGTCTCCTTATCCGGAGCTGGGCTACCTAACCATAGTTATGTAGACCTTGGAACAGTGGGGACAGATTTTAGCACCAGTGTTTGGTGTAACACAGATCTGGGGACTTGTTGCAGACATGAAGATGGTTCTCATCGTGGACAATGGTTTTCCCCTAATGGTGTAGTTCTGGAGACATATGAAAATATTTATGTGGTTGAAGAACAACAGAGAGTTGAACTACGTCGTGCAAACCGTACCACTTCACCAACTGGTATATATCGTTGTGAGATTCCAACAAATGCTGTCAATGATGCTACAGACATCTCAGTGAGAGCCAAAGTCTATGTGGGACTGTACACTAGTGCAGGTAAAATTTGTTAGTTAAGCGCATCTGGAAAAATAGTGGTAGCTTACTGACCAAAATAATATGATGCTAAGGCCTTCTTTTAATAATAGGAGGGAGTGTCTCAATATCAGGAGGAGTGACATTTGACCCAGTCCAGCTCACCCTCACCTGTATCTCCACTGGTGGACCTGCTACCACTGTCACTTGGACCAGAGACCCCGCCACTGTCACCCAAGGAACTGAGACTGTGTTGAATGACCCAGTGACTGCACAGTACACCCACACTCTGACTGTGACTGCTTTGGGAACGTACACATGTACTGTGTCTAATGTCAAGCCATCGTCTGCATCAGCTAGCGTCATATTAGGTATACCCTATTCCCATTTGTTATAATCAGAGTAATTTCACTTCAAGTTTGCTGTTTCTGAAGATCCGTCACCTCCCACTGGTGTGACAGCAGTCCAAAGAGGGCCTACAAGTATTGAAGTAACTGGAATCCTCCTGTTTCTCCTTGAATGGTATCACTGGCTATGATCTCCTACTCTGGGGGGTCTGCAGCAGTAGTGGCAGTGAGAATGTTACTGGTGCAAATCTAACAGCCACACACTGACTGGTCTTACCAATGGGAGGACCTATACCATATCATTGTAGCCACATCATCAACAGACCTAGTCAGTGCAGTGTTGCTACTACTGCTGTTCGC